ATTTTAACAGGCTAAGAATTAGTATAAGTAGACACTATGAAGGAAAATTTTCCCTGTCTTTTTGTTGTAGAGATAAAGTGAAGAAATAGTCTTTCAAAGCAATAACTATAATAGACCATTCTTTAGGTAACAGAGAAGGCAAGAGAGTGCCACGCTGTAGAAAGCCTATCAGCTGAATTACTTTATTTATGGCTCTCAAATCTGTCAGCATTCTCCATTTTCCAGATTTCTTTTTAATAACAAATATAGGAGAATTCCAAGGGCTGGTTGATTTCAATATGTTGAGCATTAGCTGTTTCTGTACCAGCTATTTTAAGGTCTATAATATTTCTGATGTCAAAGGCCATTGTTCTACCCAGACATGTTTGTCAGTTAACCATTTTAAAGGTAGGGTTGTTGGTACTTCTAAAAGATCAAGAGCTGTTGTGCCCTGTTTTTGTGCAGCCTGAATAGTTGGTGACTATTCTTTATAATACCTTTTAATACTTTTCCCAGAAACATAATTCACTTATGATTTGTTCCTGAGACTGGAAAAACGTTAATCTGAGTATTCCTTTGCTGTAACAAAGTTGTGACCCTAGAAATTCATTGCTATATTGGCCACATGTGGTTTCAATTTTCCTCTCTGTTCTTTTGCCCTATACATTCAACCTATCTTGTGCTTTGTTTTACCTCAGATAAGGTTCCAATCCCTAAAAAGTGAACGTCTACCTCCTGAAGAGTTCAATTTGGACACCATGCTTCTGTTGAAATTTTAGTTACATCTGCCCCTGTGTCCAGAAGACCTTCAATTACAATGTCATTGTTTGTACCCTTAGCCTTGGTCTTTGATCATTTATTGAAGTCTACCAAAATATTCATTTTATGGTTTCTCCTATAACTTTTGTTTCATCTTATAAAGCTATTGTATCATCGAGAGCAGTATGTTTTTTTGCCATAGGCACTAGGTCCTTTAATTGTTCTGGGGAGGAGTTTCCCCCATGGTGACAGGGAATGACTAAACCATGATCGACATGGGGAACTATAAGACACCCCCCAAGGTGTTTCCTGATGGTAAAGGGTAGCCATGCTTGTCCCTTGTTGATCTGCATTCATTGGTCCAATGTCAGACTTTGCTGCATCTTCTGCATAATCCAGAAGATTGGGGCCTTCTGTTTGAGTTATCCCTAAAATAAACATTGTTCCTAGGAATGCCCTGCCTATGATTTCTTCTGAGATGACCTTGTTTACCACAATTAAAACATTTGACATTTTGGTTTTTCCTTAAGCCTTTGGAAATCACCTCTCCCACCAAAGCATTATCATAATCAAGAGACTCAATATTGACCTTGTGTTGTATCCATTCTTCTATGGGTACTGATCTGATCTTTAAAGGCCCAATTATCCTTTTGCATTGTAAATTAGCATTTTCAAAAGCCAAAGACTGAATCAATACTTATCTATTATCTGAGTCTGATATCATTCTATTTACAGCTGAAGTCAATCTTTGCAAAAATTCAGTGAAAGGTTCTTTTAAGCCTTGTATAACCTTAGTATATGGCTCAGTCCTCTTTCTGGATTCTGGAATCTTGTCCCAAGCATTTGAGTCTGCTCTATGGCACAGGCACAAGGTGTGTTCATCATATGGAGCCTATTTATATCAATGCAAGGCCCTCACCAAGGATTTGATCTTGGGAAATTTTAAAACCTCTAGCCTTACCTTGCTGTTCAGTGGTCTTAACTTCTCTCAACCAGCTGCTCCATTCTAATTAAGGACCATATTCTAATACTGTTGTAACTAATTATTTCCAGTCCTTTGGAGTAATTTTGTTCTGGGAGGATCATGTATTCTGCCTCACATATGCTGAACACATACCATAGGAAACTATTGCTTCCTTAATATTCTTTAAGTCTAACATTTGTATAGGATCCCATGTATATTCTGTATATCCTTGGGGATACTTGTCACTTGGTTGCCTTTCATAAATGGTAACAGAATAAATCGTGGGTGGTGTAGTAACAATCTTAGGCCACTCTTCTGTAATTCTATAAGGTAATGGTGTAGTTGGTTCTCCTCTGAATTCTTCTGTCTGTATCTGAATGCAGTTCTAATAAACCTTCCTAAGGCTTTGAATTTATCAGTAATTGTCTTTTATAGGGCTTGAATCTCCTGAGTAGTAAGCTGTTCTAAAGCTCACATATTATCAGTCACTTTTTTGTTCTCTTCAATTATAAATACCTCTAAAGTTTTTAGCTTATCAGTCAAAGCTATCTTATCCTCTTTAGTGACCATCTGTAAAACCTTCATATTATCTTCCAAGGCCTGTGTCTTTACAGTCAATATCTCATTACCATATTCCAGGCCTGCATCTTTACAGTCAATTTCTTATTACTATGTTCCAAGGCCTGCATCTTTACAGTCAATATCTCATTACCATGTTCCAGGGCCTGTATCTTCACAGTCAGTTTCTTATTACCATGTTCCAGGGCCTGTATCTTTACAGTCAAATTCTCATTACCATTTCCTGCATTTTTTCAGTCAATTTCTCATTTTTGGCACTGTCATCAAATAATTTTTTAAGAATAAGTTATGAATTGTCAGACTGATAACAATTATTACTGAAATTGTATTGATCCCAGCTAGGTTGCTTATCTCTTCAGTAAATTTTTCTACGATACCACCCATAGCAGTAAGCAGGGTTCTAATTCCCTACAATGTGATATTTACAGCCATTGACCTAGGAAAGATTTTAAGATTGTATTTTCCCTTTATTCTCCCCCCCCCTTTTTTTTATTAATTTACATTTTAAGACTTGCTTATTGATGTGCTTAGGTCAGGTCCTCAGATAATTGTTGCAGATATAGTAATATTGTTTGACCAGCAGGGGGAGCTGATGGTCTGATGGCTGTGCTGAGCGAAAGTGTTTGTATGTAGTAACAGTGTTTGACCAGCAGGTGGAGCAGGTGCGGCACCCAAGCCCCTCAGGCTACTCTCACTGGATCCACAGCAGATTGAGTAAATTCATTAGAGAGAGCAGCTGTATACAAAGCAGCAGGACCCAAACCTGCCTAGTGCCCGTGGTCCGAGCAGGGCTCAGACAGATCAGACTGCCCAGGGTGTGGGCACACATGATCTCAGAGCGAGCTAAGTAGGCTGGGGACCAGGAACTGCGGGCCAGACTGAGGCCCGAACCTCGGCGAGGCTCGGTCTGGCACCGAGAGCCGGCTCGCTGAGCACCAGGGCCGTGATGCTCACGGGCGGGCTCAGGGGTCTACCAGTGTGGGCAGAAGGCAGGATGCGGCAGAGCGGCTCGGAGTTACTGGGCGAGAGAAAACGGAGCCCACTATAGGAGTTTTTATGGGGGAAGGAAAAGGATGGAGGTGGGTAGACCTACCGGAAAGAAAGTTGGGGGTAAGGGGGGCGGGGAGAGAGACAGGAGCGGGTGGAGCCCGCTTTTTTTAATAGGCCACCTCATGCATTCCTATATGGGCTTACGTGGCTGTGCCACGCGTGCACATGGATTACATGATCACGCTGTATGCAGATGATGTGACCACACTGTGCACGGATTACGTAGGACATAAGGCCCTGGAGTGACTAAGCATTTTGCCTGACTGCTGCTGACAGTGCACACCCAGTCATGTGACTCCAGAACAATAACAGCTGGGATTTTAAAAACCCGGGTTTGGGCGTGCAGTAGGCAGAAAGCTCAAGCGCTGGCAGGACCAGTGGCCAGCAGGGCGGTTTAAAGCACTGGTGCAGGGCCATACAGGCCCGCGGCAGCCACGGTATTGCCTGGGCAGGCCTGGTGGTCCTAGGACAGGGCTAGCCTGCCTGGCTAGCTGGGCTCAGGCAGGCACTGGGGCCTTGCAACGACCCACCTGCACTGGGCACCAGGTATTGTGGAAGGCCACGAAAGTCTTGGATCAGGACAGATTTATTAAAGGATGAAATCGATACAACACACTCATGAATACAGAACGAAGCTGCACCGCTGCTTCTTATCCACCAGGGAGAGATGGGGAAGGTCAAGAAAAGGTCACTTCTCCATGGAGTCAAGCCATCCACAGTCCCCCGCCGATTCTTAAAAGGTTACACATCGCCGGGCGTTGGTGGCGCACGCCTTTAATCCCAGCACTCGGGAGGCAGAGGCAGGCGGATCTCTGTGAGTTCGAGGCCAGCCTGGGCTACCAAGTGAGCTCCAGGAAAGGCGCAAAGCTACACAGAGAAACCCTGTCTCGAAAAACCAAAAAAAAAAAAAAAAAAAAGGTTACACATCTTCAGAGAAGACCAGGCCCATGGGGCCAACCCGATCCATTCCATTGGTCATTAGACCAATTCCCAGAATTCACACAACACATGTTGCTGTGGATATCGCTCTATATAAATAAAACACTGATGGCCAGTGACCAGGCAGGAAGTATAGGCGGGACAAAGAGAGAGGAGAATTGGGGAAACAGGAAGAAGGAGGGAGAGACACTGCAGCCACCGCCAGGACAAGCAACATGTAAAGACGCCGGTAAACCACCAGCCACGTGACAAGGTATAGATTTATAAAAATGGGTTAATTTAAGATATAAGAACAGTTAGCAAGAAGCCTGCCACGGCCATACAGTTTATAAGTAATATAAGCATCTGAGTGATTATTTTATACGTGGATTGTAGGACTGTGGGGCTTGGTGGAACCCAGAGAGAAGAATTCCAAAAACACATGTTCTGTAAAAATAAAAATATTTTTAAACACCACGGATCACAGTCTTTCATCCCTTTAATGAAGCCACACAGAATAAAAGAGCTACAATATTGAAGGCATAATCCAAAGTCTGGTGTTGGAATTCACTGTCTAGAACCACAGTTAACATGGTAATTAGAAGACAAATATTCTCTTTTTTTTTTTCAAACATTGGACTAAATGGTTGGTAACATTCCTTTAAGTATTGAAATTCTGTGATCCATGATAAAAAGCCATTTGAATAATATTGACTCTACTTCAAAACAGTGACATCTCTCGTACACTTACCTGTAGTTGCTGAATGGTGAGCCCAGAATTCATCCTCCTCAAGCTGCAATGAGGTACTTCAATATTTTCACTGTGGTACTGTCGGGAAAGCTGAATAGGGAGACCAACAATTATGTTAATGTTCACACACCTACTCAGCAGTAATCCAGATGCTGGGAAGGCAGAGATAGGTGGATCTCCTAGCCTGTGAGCTCTAAGTTCAATGACAGATGCCGCCTCAAAATGTCATGTGGAGAGCAAATGAAGAAAACACCTGATAAGAACTCTGACTTCTATGTCCACATGCACACACACTTCACAGAACAACTAACAACACACTGGAAACAGATGAAACATTAGAAAATTTCAACCAGGAAATACATGAAAAGAACTATATGGCAATATTAGAACTGAAAAAAATGAAAGGATTAAACTTAAAAGGCTCAACAGTACAAGTGAGTGACAAAAGACAAGAAAATATAGTTTAAATTAATTAATCTAAGCGGCATAGGCAAATAAGACAAACTGGATTCACAGTCTATATGGGTTGTAACAAAAAATAGAATCTTTTATTCTCAGAAGCGGAAGCAAAGAAAGGAGACATTTAAATGTGAACAAAGAAATACTGAAAATTTTCCAAATAAGGAAGAAATTGAATGATAGTTGCTGTGGATATCACTCTATATAAATAAAACACTGATGGCCAGTGACCAGGCAGGAAGTATAGGCGGGACAAGGAGAGAGGAGAATTGGGGAAACAGGAAGGAGGAGAGACACTGCAGCCACCACCATGACCAGCAGCATGTAAAGACGCCGGTAAGCCACCAGCCACGTGGCAAGTAATAGATTTATAGAAATGGGTTAATTTAAGATATAAGAACAGTTAACAAGAAGCCTGCCACAGCCATACAGTTTGTAAATAATATAAGTCTCTGTGTTTACTTGGTTTGGTCTGAGCAGCTGTGGGACTGGTGGGTGACAAAGATTTGTCCTAACTGTGGGCAAGGCAGGAAAACTCTAGCTACAAATGGCGCCCAACAGCTCAAATTTCCACCTTAAACCTGAGAATATTTAATAACCAATTTTAAAAAGAGCCAAAACCAGGTTCCTGCTTCTTGTCTCATATGGGCAGCTAGACGCCACAAAACTCAGGTTTGAACACTGGCGGGTTCCTGGCGTGTGTGTTTGACCAGCAGTATGGCGGGAATGAGGCGTCTGCCAGCGGCACATTAAGCTGTGTGGTAGATTTAGTCTTTACTAATATTAAAAAAAAAAAAAAAAAAAGAGGTTTCTGGGCTACACCCTGCTTTGATAAGAAGAGTAGACCCACTATTTCTGAGAATTGATGGCTCCCAGAGCTGGCGGAAAACGTACCACCGCCATGTTGGGAAGCTGAAGTGGGCAGAGCCAGCAGCCACAGCGCCGTTTCAGGCTTAAAAGGCTACAGTTTAAAGCAATAAGTTCGCAGTAAGACTGATTCAGATGAAATAGTTTATAATGCATGTAAAAATGTACATAGGCTTAAAAGAGAAAAAAAATATATACAGTTATATAAACAAATAGTATCTAAAAATAAAGTGTTTAAAAAAACAGTGAAGGTAATAAGCCATGTAAAGATGGCTATCACACATAAAATCTGGATTATGTTGTCTTTGATATTCGTAACTAAAGAAAAACATTTGATTGTAAAAGCTGTTCACTTATACCAAAATGTATATTTTAAAGGAACCTTGACTTCAAAATTTAGATTTAAGGATATGTTACTTTGGAAAAGAAGTTCTGTTTTGTTTCCACAGAAAGCAAGAGGCTATGGATTTGTTCCAGATTAAGATACATCAGGTTTGACCAGCCAAGACCCCCTGAAAGATCTCCGATGACACCATGGCCCAGATGATCCAACATCCAGAACAGTTTCAAGACAACTGGCTCCCACAATACAGCCTCACGGACTACGCCATAGGCCTAAAATTTTCTTTGCGTCCCCATAAGATACAGCGCCTCCCTCCAGCAGGAAGTAGTAAGAGATGCTACGACCAAATTCCCAAATATAGCAAGCTGGCTTTAGAGGTGGAATTGGCTCACTCCCCCTCTAAACCCAGACATATTGCTTTAAAAAAAAAAATGGTTAAGAGATTCTTGTGTCCCAAATCAGAAGAGCCCTCTGGTGTGGGACAGAGAAAAACCAATATTTTTATTTAAAACAGGTCGATTATAAATGTGATCT